TTCTTTTTGAAAACGACAAAAATGTTATACGATTTTTTGATCATTATTTTTTGAACAATACATATACAATATAAATTTCCTATTTAAAAAAATATAATTGGTGCGATCTGGTTTTTTTTTCTTATTTTAAAAAATCAATTGTCATCTATAAATATAGCAATCATTCTAATCATTGCCACACATACGTTACATAAATGGATAATCATAATCATACTTAAATACTTCAAAAAGTTTTAGGAAAATTTGTTACGCTTTTTTTAATGTACTCGGTTTGAATAACAGAATTAGCAATCATGGCGGGAAAAAATTCCATCTCGTTTATTGGGAGCGTGGCACTTTTAGTATCGTCCATGACGGGACCTGGAGTTGTCACAAGTACGTTAGAATTTTGTTTTTAATAAACAAATATTTTTCAATAACTTTTTTATCTAATCTCGAAATTTCGTAGTTCCTTTGCTATTTCAGTCAGCAGGATGGCTCATGTAAGCATCGATTCCATTTCTACGAGTATGTATAATGCATTCTCTAACAATTTTATTATTTTCTTTTTTAGACCTTTAGTCGTCTTTGCTCTTGCAGTTTTATTAAGTGGTTTCGCTTCGTTATTTCTATGCGAAGCATTAAGTTCCATTCATGGAAATGAGCGATTCCAGGCAAGTGTCAAGGACAAATCAGCATTGTACTTATTTTGAACCTCTCCTCAACTATCTTTCTACTAAATAATAATTCAGAAAAATATCGAATTTTCGCGTCTTTCTTCAACCCTGATAAAAAACAAATACCAAAGTCGATTCATTCAATTAGTTATCTATATAACGTTCCAATCGCTTATTATTTCATCAATCATTATATCCGCTCAAACAATGGATTCACTGATGATCTCATTGACAGGAAAAACCTGTGGGATTGGAATCCATCCAACTGCCGGATTTTTCTGCGTGAGAGAACAAGGCACAAACGGAAGTCCTTTCGGAAGTGATTATATGCTCGTTACAGCTGGATTTGTTGTAAGTTTACTTCAACAAAGTTTTTTGTTTTTACTTCGACTGAATTTCATTCACGCTTCTTTGAATAGATTTCTCTGACCCTCGTTTTTCCTTTGGGTATCATGGAACTTGTTGACAATATCAAAGTTCAAATTGGTGTGTTTATATATTACATCCTATCATAATCGTTATTCTCGTTTTATATCAATACTTCATGTATCTTATTTCTTGTACTTATCATAACAGCTTCTTTCATGATACTATTGTTCACTTTCATATCTTGGCTGATCACATTTATGGTTCGTGGACTTAATAAAGATCTTGTTCCTATTGTGGGTTCTGACGAGAGTCGGGTTGTTGGTGCGGTGTTGTTCAATTATGCATTTATCACAACAGTACCAAGTTGGATTAATGAGATTGTATGTGATGAAAAAAATTTCTATTTCTGCCTCTTATCTTTCCGATTCAAAGATAATTTATCAGTTAATTTATAGAATCCCACGGTTTCAATTCGTAAATCGATCTGGTACTCGATAGCAATTTCAACTGTTCTATATGTTTCCTTGGGGATCTTTGGAGGAATGTCATTTTATATGGATCCATCTTCAAACATTATAGCTGTCATCAATAGTTCCTCACAACGATCCATTGTGAATAATATTACGACTTATCTATTTCCTCTGGCCGCTTTAATATCAAGTATTCCAGTGTATACAATTATTGTGCGATATAATCTGACCAACGATAATTTTTGTAACAACAGTACGTTAATCTGGAGTTCTTCCCCTCTATGATTTATTTTTGTTAAATGGTTCAACTTAAGAATACTTTTTCATTTTTTTTTCGCAAAATTAGTCACCGCCACTCTCTTGTCAAACTTCTTACCTTGGATTATCATTATACCATTCCAAACAGGATCTTGGCTTAATGAGTTCATGAATTGGACGAGTCTGATTTTTTCTACTATTAGTAATTTCATCATTCCGTTTTGGTTGTATTACATCAGCCGAAATCAAAAACATCTAAAAAGTGACGAGGATATTGCATCGAAAGGTATTTTATAACATGCTATTGTATTCCTTATGTTACTATACATATATTCTCTGTTTTAACTAATGCTAAAATTAATGCAGTTGTCACGTCTGATGACATTTCTGTAAAGGCAAAGAACCTTGAAAGAAAGTTATCCCTTATATCCGATACAATTTCAATAAAAAGTGTTTTCCTAACGTTGGCCGATGAAGAATTGTCTGTTCGTTCTAAAGCAAATGACAATAGTAATTTGCTATCACCACCAATTGTGATTAGACCACCTTCACCGGGAGTAGAGCAAAACACGGGTTATAATCATACTGATTTGCGCTTATCTCCAAGCACTACTCCAAGGCGAAGACGATCTCGAGATTCCACACAGTCAAGAATCCCAAAGCTAGATGAAAAAGAATCGAATGACGACATAGTGGTTGTGATTAATACCGCTATCAGTCCAAAACAAACGGACTCACCAATATACTGTAGTAGCCCAATACAATTGGAACCATCTGTATTAAGTAGCAGTCCCAAGGAATTTGAACCACAAACATTTTTAAGCGTACAAGTACCTCAGATTCAAAATCCACGCCATATATCAGGTAGTGACGGCGGTGGAAATAACGATGCAGGAAGTCCCGTATGTTCAACGCCGGCTACCTCAACAACGACCGATTTAAATCAAGGGCGACACTTATCGGCACGACCCTCGTTAATGTCCCGAACTAGTTTTGGCCGTAAGAAGTCACCATCTCGGCCAACAATAGTAATAACACCCCCCATATATATAAGTGATGAAAACAACAACATATCGGCAGACGCTCATTGTGAAACTCATAGTTTATCTATAAATTCCGTTCATTCAAGTCCTAACACAAATTGTCCTCCATCGCCGATATCAATGTACGAAGAATTTTATGCTCCATCAATTCAAAAAAGCAATGTCACTAGTCTTTCGGAGACGGACAATAATATGGGAGTCAATAATAAACCTGGTGAAGTTTTTAAAGCAATTCCCTGGCTGTCAGCAGAGAATGGGTTAAAGCTAGCCGTCGGATGTGGTTGTACGGCAATCATAATGATTGGGGGAAGTTTGATATATGATTTTGTGGCTTTGGCAATGGGTAATAACGTGTTTGGATAGGGATGGCTTTGAAACGCACGATATCGACTTTATAATTGTATTATCTTTTCGTAGGAACAATATTTGTAATTATAATCAAAAAATTTCTCAAACTGTTTTCTTAACGAATCTTCAATATTTGTAATATTGTATATTGTTGTATAGTGAACAATAATATGTAAAATACCTGGATGTATTTTCTAGTACCAAAAAATATATACATTTTTTTTTTTTCAGGAAGAATATCGTTTTTTTCATTTTTCTCTTCTTTTTTTTGAGCCTAAAAGGCAAAAAGTAATGTGTGTGACAGGAATAAATTCTTCATTAAATTTTGCGATCTGACCAAGGATATTTTATCAGATGCGCTTGAATAAAAATATGACTTGTAGATTTTAATTCATAATACAATTATGCCATTAAACACATTAAACATAAAGGATTCCGGAACCCCAAGATGCATAGCTTTTAGATATCACGTACACGTAAATTAATTATAAGTTTTTGATGTCACATATCAAAAGACCTACTCTATTTAACTATTAGTTTAAAACTCGATAGCTCATTGTTTGTATTTAACTTATATGGGTAATTCTTTTTGAAGGCGGACAGGGATTTTTCTGACTTTACTCCTAGAATTTATATTGTATATGTATTGTTCAAAAAATAATGATCAAAAAATCGTATAACATTTTTGTCGTTTT